GTCACATTATGACTATAAAAGCTGTATGTGTCGCTTTTAGCAATATTCCAGCAATAATCCGGCGAGGACACCAGGAATGGGTTTCACACATTGTACCCAAGTAGGGAATCGAACCAGGGCCTTCGGCGTGACGAGCGAACGCTTCAACCACGAGGTTTTCCCACTGCCCCTTCCGACCAATAAACAACGGTTTACGTTAGCTATATTTTTAAGTTACTCCACTGAAGTCAAGCGTCACGGTTGTCCAGGGCAGTCGTAATACCGGCTCAGCTCATGTATGTATGAGAGATTGCAAAGATACCACGATGTACTTTTCACAACTGCAAAGCATGCCCGTGTGTATCATGTATTCCGTTCCGTTGGTATATGACCAGATGGTGGCCATATCAATACGTGCAAACAACTAGTTGCGGATACAGCAATGTGCAGTAAACTTGGACAAAGTACTCTGACTATGTGTCCCAGTCCAGCCAGTTGTGAATGGGTAAGGATGGGAAAGCCACATTCACTCGGTGCGCCTAGTAGCAGCAAGAGTTGTATGCTCTTCCAGGGAGTTGAGATTGATAATGTGAAGTGCGGTTGAGACTGACATCCTACGATCGAGAGAAAAACAAATCGCCTGTGAGCAGCCTAGCTGGAACTCGGCGCTATATGAATATATTATTATATAATAATACAATAATAATATTGCTCATTCAGAATGTAGTGGCACAGACCAAGTGTCATGGACGTTGTTGGAGTCAATACATTCGTGACATACCCATCTGAACACTGATGTCGATGTTCCTGACCGGAGATGTCTGATTACCGATTACGTGTCTGACTATAAGACACTCACCTGTGACCGTGCACCCAGAATGTGCGAGTGCCCATTGACGTATACATCCCCCTTGGCCTTGGCTTCTCAAACAACAGCTTTGGACGTCAGGTTTTCTGCATCGATGGTATGGACCGGAATGGAACTGTTAAACCAAGTGGTATGTATTTACAAGTGAACGCTACATTTGCTTACCTTTTCTTGAGAACTCTCTTTTAGCATTCAGGATCTAAAAGATATTGAGAAATGTATACGTTTTTTACAGTACAAGAAACAAAGAATTATATAATTAGCATAATACTTAAGGGGGTTGTCCGTAGTATATTATTTCAATGCTTTGCCTCTACCTGTATTAACTGTGTGGGTTCTATGCGTCCCATCTTGAAGGTTCTGTTCCCACTTCGATTTTGATTGAACTCCTGCATATCCATGGTTTTGTTTCCAAAGTCCAGAGCCTCTTGCAAGGTCATGTAAACACATTTGTACTGGTCCTGAATTAATAATGAAACGACCGTTGACATTCGTGAGCTTATACAAAAGTGAGACATAAAGTGTCTTCTGTGGACTGTTTGCTTCATATGCATTTTATATAGAACATCGGTGCAAAAATAAACATTCACATTAAGATGAAACGTGTCACCGTGGTCTGTATCATGCCCTTTCTCTGGTCTCTCATCTTTGATACACAATCAAACACATCTACCTTATTTTCAGCCAGAGCCTGGTCCAATAGGTAGTCCAGAGCGATGTAGGTTCCTGTCCGGCCGATCCCAGCACTGGAGTTGAAATGATTATCGTTAATATTTATGGCGTCTACGTGTCTGAACAAGAGAATTAAACACTATTCATGAGAAAAGCGAATAAATGAACAAATGCTGCAAATATCACGCACCAAGAAATGAATGAATTTGTGTGTGTGCATGTTGTTACATCTTTGATGTGGGCTACCTAAATAGAGGGTAGCTCCTTATTTAAATGTAACAAGTCAGTGTGTAATTCTTTAATTTCCCTACCTGCAGTGCACCAGTAGAGGGTCTGTGATGGGTACTTTTCTTACCAGCCACAGAAACTCAGTCAATGCGGTCTCCTCGGGGGTCCCATGATCCGGCCATGTTGTAAAATGGAACTGACGGAAGCACCGACAAGTGCTGGTCTTTGAGCATGTAAAAAGTTAACATTGTATTTGAGGACTACGTTGTTCAGATATACATGTTTCAGAGAAACTGGAAGGCATTGTAATCACCAATAATTCTCAATAGTATTGCTTTGAATAATCCTGAATACACCATTTTAGTGGTCAAGGATACAGGCACTGGCAATATTTCCATCGAAATCTATATAGTTACCTTCATATCTGTGACATGTAGTTCACTCACGACCCAATGTGCTCGCTGACTTGCGGTGGCCACAACGATGTTTAAATTCCCCAGAGTCAAATCTCTTTTGTCCGACCAGTATGTTACACATTTCACCTGACACATGTATTGGCATGTTACAGTATGTCCTCTATTTCATAGTTGCAGTTACACAGGTGAGCCTAAATTATGTATGCACACTCAAAATGTCAGTCATAGAATCATTGATATTGAAGTAATTCCTCCTTGTATCTACTTCAAAATGTTCAGGAATTAGCTTGAATTGTTGAACACTGTTTACTGTATATATTTACTTCAAACTTACAATGGACATAAAGGCTTTGTTTACTCTTATAAGAGTACTCAATGAAATAGGTAGATATTGACCTTCCTCATCTCCATGAGATTAGTCAGCATGATGATTCTTGTACAGTTCTTTTCCCAGATCAACCTCCAGAAGTCAGTCAGAGTCTGTTCAGTAGGGCCTATGTAAAGGATGTACATATATAGATTGCCTCCTAGAGTTTCATCTTAAGGACAACAAAAGATTCATGACATCATAGAACCTCAATTGTGCAGGATCATTTTTCACTGTTTTTGTGGATTGATTCCTTTTTAATATATTACTGTCACCGACCAGATTGAGTTTCATATATACAATACAGAGAGGTGACGGTGCCTTGCGCTGCAATGTAGGCTGTAGGTTGGGAGTAGCCCTGAAACCAGAAATGGAGAAGTTCAGGTGCAATACACACTACAACACCAAACTAGATCGCATAGCATTTAACGATGCCCAATGTCATTAAAGGTAAACAGTACTAACAATTCCATCAGTTAATGTTAAATCCTACTAACGTCTATTTAGCTTGCATCTATGTAGTCGGAACCAGGCTTGCCTGGCAGTGTTTGCAACCTGACCCGGGTGTCATCATCTGGAATATAGGAAACATGGCCATAAACAGAGACGTCTTGTGTACTGAAGAGGAGACAATAGCGAAAATGTTGCACAGGTCACATCTAGATTATTGCAAGTATCTCTCTCTCTCAGTCAGTCAAACCAACTGATTTTACACATTTCTGTTGTTATATATTACCACTGTCTAAAATGAGCTGTTTAGAAAATACTGTAATACCTACATGGGTAATAATTAAGGAATCTGTTTTTCCGCTTGTTGACATCTAGCTGAGAGTCGTTGTAGGAACGGGTGAAAGTAGTTGGTAGTTTCTGGAAATCAATTCGTATCAGGTTACGGGAGTGATTTGGTAGGGTACAATGAGTGAAATATGAAGTCCTAATGTATAGTTAAAATGAATAACATTCATTAAACGTCAGCTATATGTCTCCAGGAGACATATCTTAAACCTACAGACAACTTTACTTTAAGACAGTGCAGCGATTATCATTCCTTTTCTCCCCCAGGAGATAAAGCAACTGGTGGTGCTTCCATTTTGGTACAGCGTGGCATCACACATAGCCCTGTGTCTCGTAATACCAATCTTCAAAGTGTAGCTATTCGTCTAACCCTGCATATTGCATTAACGTTGTGCAGCCTGTATATCCCTCCTTCTTCTGATATTCGACAGTCGGATCTTCAAAATCTGTATGATCAACTTCCAAAGCCATGTATTATCATGGGCGATCTGAACGGACACAATCCGCTTTGGGGAAGTGGTCATACTAATAATAAAGGTAAAATCCTTGGGGAATTCATTTCCGATAATAATTTATGTATTTTCAATGATGATTCAGCCACTTATATACATCCAGCTAAAGGAACATATTCTTCCCTGGATTTATCACTCGCCGACTCCGTCTTGTATATTGAATTTGAATGGACAGTGCATGATGATCTATGTGGGAGTGATCACTTCCCTACCATTCTCAAAACAATCAACCCTGGTGATGATCCACCTTTATCGAGAAGGAACTTTGCCAGGGCTGATTGGTCATTATATAAGACACTATTGTTCTGATCACTTAAAACATGATGTTTTGGCGAACAGGAAAGATCCTATACAGCTGTTTTCAGAAATACTCAATGACATTGCTGACCAAACTATCCCCAAGTCCTCTGCAATTCCACATATTCGTAAACCATTGTTTACTAATGAGTGTAAACAGGCCAGAAAGAGTAGGAAGAAAGCTGAAAAGTTTTTTCGCAAACATCCTAACGTCCATAACGTAGATAAAGTTAAAATTTTAAATGCCAAGGCTCGACGCACTTTTAAACAGACTCAGCGTCAGTCTTGGAGAAACTATGTTTCCAAAATTAGTTCAGGCACACCTATTTCAAAGGTATGGAACATGATTCAAAGAATAAAGGGCAAAGGTTCCGAATCTACTGTCTATTAACTGATAAGTCTGATATTGCCAATAAGCTTGGTGAAACTCTCGCCAAACATTCTTCTTCGTCAAACTACGTCCCAGAATTTAAAAATTATCAGAGGCACCCGTGAAGAGCCACCTCCTCGTGATGGGTGCTGGGTAACGCTAAGTGCTCTTCAACCCCCGAGTGGACCCTTGGGCATAGTGGTCCACAGCACCCCATTGCTGGTCTTAGACCTAATTGGGCAACCCGTTTGCCGTGGGTTGCGCCCCTGTGTCGGTGGAGGAAGGGAGTTGTTGAGGGCACTGGTTCCAGGAACAGTGTTCCTTTGCCCAACACACCACTTCGCCCCTGACTTCACCTAGACGGGTGGTTGAATGGGCCCGATTCCATCAATCGGCTGGTCACGCCCAGTCCTGTGTATGGACTATATATATATATATATATATATATATATATATATATAGACAAAGTCGACCTTTGGGCGACATTTGTGCGACCTTTAGGCGACAGCTGTCGCCCTAAGGATATATTTCTGTCGCCTAAATATCTGCATGTCACAACTATGTTCATTTTCCTTAATAACTATCCCAAACTAGATGGTTGGATAGAGGGTCATCTCAGGACCTTCGGGTGTGCTTCTTTTGTATTTTTATAAAATTTCAGTGCTGTTATTGAAAAAACAAAAATATGATGTATATAACGTCTGCGACCTTTCGGCGACACGGGGTTTTCTATAAAATTCTCTAACACATGGATATATGTTCAGAAATAAACAATGGAGAAATTATTGTCTAAATATATGCTCTTAGGTTTTGTACATTTTTTTCAAATATACACATCGTTAAGTGTTCAGCATAATATCACTGTTTCCCTCGCAGTACCTTTCGGCGATTTTCCTTCACGCTCCTGTGCGTCAAAAACGTGAAAGTTCAAAAGCGGCAACGTCGAAATGAACACTTAGCTAATAATTCAATAACGTCTGTAGATATTGTGGGAGCTGACAGACAAGACTAACATGCCACCAAGAAAACGTTTAAATACTTAAAACATTTGATTCTTTGATCAAAATAACAATGTAATAATTTGTAAATAAATTGAATTCATGTTTCACACGAAGGCCCGTTCACGTTTTGTGTCAAATCGGATCCCGTTTGCTACAGTTTTCGCGCACTACACGAGGTGACTTGGCAGCACAAAGCATTGGGAAATGCATGGTATGTATCGTAATCGGAGTATTTTGTTGGAAAAAGCAGCATGTACAATTGTTTCAAAGGCGATGCCTGTCCCATGACACAATCTATTTCAAGATTTCTCAACTGGAAGAAACTGTTTGCTAGTAACTTGATCGCGATTGTGACGTTTCGTATCATGTTGTTTCTTGATCCTCACCTAGGGCTAGACTATATTTTTTTTTATATCAACAAACAAACGCATTATAAACTGAAAAGGAGCCCCGGGGAAACCAGAACTTGAGAAAATCTAGACTTGCTTCATTTAGGGCCTTAGCATTGCAGAAAGGGCAAGGCAGTAGGGAAAATAATATTGTGGTTCAGGGGACTGTGACACAGACTACAGATTACAGTGGTTGGCCATAAGTGAGTCATCATTAGTGAAATTTCCATAGACTTACATGTTAATTAACTGTTGCAAGAATAATTTTCATAAATTGAGTAGAAGTTTGCAAACATCTTGGAAATCATCTTCAGCTACGTGTACATAATTTTCTTTCATCTTTCCATTGATTAGTTATGGAATGACACCTGATTAAGCACCATAAATACAACTTAATTTTTATCAATCCCATAGACATGTTAAACCTGATTGGTATGTCTAATATATGTTGTTTAAGAAGTTGCAGTTTTCTTAATAATCCTTGGAAAATTGAAAGGAAATTATGTGTACAAAGCTGAGATGATTTCAAGCTAATAGATAAGTGCTGAAAGCAATTCCACCCAAACTAAATGTATGAAAATTATTCTTGCAAGAGTTAATTAACATGAAAGTCTATGTGAATTTCACTATTGATGACTCACTTATAATAACTACTGTAGATCCACAACCGAAAGAGCTAATCACAGCTGTATGATTTTATGTTCACTCAGTGGGTGAAATTGACCTTTTACTTTTAGGCGCAGTTCCGGTGCGGCAAAAAAAACCCAAAACATCTCTCATTCTGACGCCTGATATTCAGGGTATCAGACTGACTTTTTGCACTGATATATTGTTTTCTTATTTTAAATAAATATCTACCAACTAATAGATAAATAAACCCCAAAAACAGTCAATAACCATTACTAATTTCAGGAACTAACCAAATCTGTAAGACTTGAATTCAGTAAAATTACTTATAGGCCAAATGTAGAGATAACATAACACATTACAATCGGTTTTATCACCCACACTGCATATTCTGACCATGGGGTAATACTCATTGACATGGGTTTGCTCAAATAATGAGCTGATAGTGCAGTGTTGAGGAAGACTTGTAGTTATAGTTTCATAATGGCACTCTCCATTGTTGCTCTTTGCTGTTTCCTCTGATAGCTGAACTACACATTTTATATCAGCTACACATTTCCTAAATTGTTCATGCAAAGGAAATATGCATTTGCTCTCTTGACCATAATATGTTTCAGTTACATTATTTATATCAAGAGTTTCTAACTTTCAAAATATAGCTTTTGTACTCCTGCTTTGAACCCTGCCCTTTGGGTGTTTATGTGCAGTGTATCTCCTCCACTGGTCTATCAGAGTGAAAATATCAGTGAATAGTGATGAAATGTATATGTTGCACCATTTTCATGCTAATAATAATAATTATCTCCATATGAGTACAAAGATTGTAGCCTACCACCTTATTACCTACAAGTAAAGGCTGTCTGGGTCAAACCTTGTTTGTTTTAGTAACCTGATACATTTTGTGGCTGATTATGACAAAATTTCTAATTACCAGAAAACACATTTACTGGATCTGAGAGATCCTAAAAGATAAAAACTTTTCTTTCATTTGGCCCAGGACTATAACCATGTCTGTCCACATGCCACTGCCACTCAGCCCGCATAATTATGAGCAATACATCCTCCCACTCACGGGTTACTCAACTGACAACCATAAATGTTGGTTACGTTGTATTTTTCTGCACTTGGTCCAAACTTGATATAGTTTCAAATGCTAGAGATTTTCCACTTCACTGGTGCACTTGAATCTGTTAATTCAATATTGTGCATGAATACAGTTAGAATTCCCTTTTTGAGCTTTCATAATTCCATTGCAGCTACTCTTATCTTTGTATGTTTAATGCAGGGACATTTCCTCATTTCAAAGTCTAAATCCTGTACATTGTGTAACATAGGAAGAGGGTAAATACCAGTGGACAGGATAAGATTAACTGAAAAGTCAAGGATGGATCTCACTAAACACATTGAGACATGTTCTAACTTATTGGTTGGTCAATAGACCAACTGTTTCTATCTGGGGATATGTTATTAGTCTTTTATGTTTTTAAGTTCACTTAGCAGTCAAATTGCATAAAAGGGTAATTTTGTTCAAAGCAGGGGTTTCTTAAACAAACTATTTCTCTTTTTAAAAATGGAGGTGAAGTTTAACATTTCTTTCAGTACAAACAGTAAGAATTAAAGCCTCTTCCTGTTGTAAGTTACCTTTACAAAGCCATAATAACAGTTTCAGAAATGCCTCTTTGATGCATCTATTCAGGTAGTGTGCTGTTCATCATTGGTCCATCATCGGCTAATAGTTTGCATTGTCGACTAATACCAACATCTCTGAGCAGCACTGGGCAGACAGTATTGATATAAATCATAGAATCGATGATTATTATTATGAATAGTAAATTAAAAATAAACCTGAAAGAAATCAACATTTTGTATTACTGGTGAGTTTTACCTTTATGCATGGATGACTAACAAAATCCTGAACATGACTTAGAAGCAACCCATGAATAAAGACATAACTTTGTATATTGTGTGAGTAAGTTGAAACTATGATATTATGGGTATTCTTAAATTCCAATCAAATTGACTTGATGGCACAAGTTTTTCCTTTGGTCACCCTTCATCTCAAGATCAAAGCTGACATAGACTGTAAAAGTCAGGAAAGATCTAGCCTGTCTCATAGTTCCTGAACTGCATTATTTTTACTTCTGTCTATGCCTTTCTGCAATGATAAAGACCTAATTTAAGCAAGTCTAGATTTACTTAGTTTCAGGAATCTCCCATCTCACTGGAGCTCCTTTTCAGTTTAAAAGGATTTGTTTGATTCTATCAAAATTATATATATTCAGAGACTAATTGCTAGTCTTGGATGGTCCTGTTAGACATGGAAATCCTATCCAATCCAGTTTATGCCCGGTAAGTTAATTTTATTTTACAATGGTTTCTGAATATGAAACATTGTAAATTCATAATTTATGTATGTTGTTAGGGTGATAACTAAATCATGTAGAATTTTAAATACTTTATCAGTTCAGAAGAAAAAATATTATTTCTTAAGCTCAGTTTTGAATTTAAGTTCATAATCATTTTGAGAATAATATTGTTAACATTTTAATGTTACATAATACAGACAACTATGAACGGGACCAAGACACGTTGAGCTTGGCAGAGGAGAAATGTGACCTTCAAATTGCAGAATCCGAGGGGGAGTCTCAGGCATTCCAAAGGGAGGAAGGGGTAGGTTATGTGATCCAGAGATCAATACCTTCATGTTAGTAGATTTAAGTTGTGAATACCAATTTTACAGCTTTGTTAAATTTATTTCTACCTTAACTAGGGATGTCACGATACATAAGTTTCATGAATCGATACATATCACGATACTCATGACATGATTCGATATGTATCATGATACCTATTTTCACTGCATTATTGTGTAAAATTAGTTACATTTTGAACATTAAATATATTATATTTTATAAGAGTCCTTGAAAAGATCAACATTTTCTATTCTCAGAGATTAAAAAGTTCTAATTTCCCATCTTTGTGTATGAAAAATAATCATTTATAACTCTCATAACATAAAAAACATGATACAATTGCAAAATGTGAACGATACATATTAAAACATGTTTAAATCAATACTTTCAAAACTAATAATGAGTTTTGAATGCATCAATGATTGTAAGGTCTTAGAAAAAGTATCGATGTATCGTGGCGTTCCTAACCTAAATATTGTTCTGGCCTACCTTTAGAATTCAGCACCACAAACTTGCAATACCCGATGAAGTAATGCCTCATGAATCTTTGCAATTTGTTTAATCCTTCTCAATATTAGTACAGTTATCTTGAATGGTAGTGTGCCGATCAGTACCGAGTGCAGCAATACATGTTTTAGGTATTATCTCAATACAGGATCTTTTACTATTTATAAAAGTATCAAGAAATTCAAAATGGCCAATAAGAGATTAATTGTTAGACATGGAATAGCCTTATATACAGATAGTCTGTCTTTGATGACATATATGAAAAATTTAAAGAAAAACTGTATATACTCTCATAACAAGCAGTTCCAGACAAGTATTGTGGTTCTGATCATGGAAAACTTTACAGAAAATGTAGAAATTTTGAAAATTGGCAGAATTTGCTCTTTTCACATATCAGTAGGGTAATTTTCAACATTTTTAAGCTTTTCTATTGACTTTTGCACTTGACTGATGTCCAAACATTTGCAATTCAAAATTTATCCCTGCAATAATCATGTCTTTTATAATAGAGATATCATTTTCACTTTTAGGTTACTATGTATTCATATCTTACCACAGTTTCATAGAGAGCTGATGCGTGTCGTGTTTCGTAGTGCACACAATTCAGAAAAGATTGGCATTTTCAATACAGAGTATACAAATTAACATATTCCTACATTTTGTTGTTTGTCTGTTGTCAACAATTCAATCTTCCATCGGATAATCAGGTGTATTAAAGTTCTGACACCATTATGTTCATATCACTTGGGCCGGTTGGGGGTGGGGATGGGTGGGTTCTCAATTAAATTTGTTTTACATGATTGTATCAGGTGTTTAAATGGGTTGTTATCAAATGATTCATGTAATTGTTGATACATTTGCATTAATGTTTTGGTGTCCTTCATACACAGGAAATTCAGCTAATGAGAACTGAAGACACCTCTATTCCATGTCAGCAGATACATTTTCTTTGTTTATCTTTTCAGGATTCAGATGTAGTATCTGTGAGAAAGTACTGAAATGTAAAGGTGGATATACTGTTCATCAGCAGATGACTTGAAGTCAAAAGGTACCACCAGTTTTTAGTAGTGTCTTTCTAGATATCAAGATAAGTGAACACCAATAACATATCATATCGTTATACAAGGTCAAGAATGTGTTTATCTCGACTGCTTTATAATATCCCTGGCAGGTCATTAGTAAATCAATCAAGCTAAATTCCATTGTATGCAACTAGGATGTGTTGTCTAAAGGTCTGTGTTGATGACGAATAGGATGTATCTTGTTGACCATTGGGCAACTTCTATATATATATATGTATTAATATTCAACAGAAAATTGGGTAACACATCATATCTGTTATAATCACAGCCCATTGGGCAACACATCCCATGTATTATTTTTACGTACCTTTGGGCAACACATCCAATCTGTTATTTTTACAGACCATTGGGCTACACATATATATTCACATCAGACCTTATCAGAGGACCTTTGGGCAACACATCATATCTGTTATCAGCAGACCTTTGGGTGACACATCATATATTTTCAATAGACCTGTGGGCAACACATCATATAATCAGTAGACCTTAGGGCAACACATCTTATATATCAACAGTAGACCTGTCTGCAACACATCATATATATCACCAGTAGAAATTAGGGCAACACATCCCATATATCACCAGTAGACCTTAGGGCAACACATCTTATATATCACCATTAGACCTTTGGGCAACACATCTTATATATCACCAGTAGACCTTAGGGCAATACATCATATATATCACCAGTAGAAATTAGGGCAACACATCATACAATCAGTAGACCTTTGCCCAACACATCTTATATATCACCAGTAGACCTTTGGGCAACACATCATATATATCACCAGTAGACCTTAGGGCAACACATCTTATATATCACCCGTAGACCTTAGGGGAACACATCTTATATATCACCAGTAGACCTTAAGACAACACATCTTATGTATCACCAGTAGACCTTAGGGCAACGCATCTTATATATCACCAGTAGACCTTAGGGCAACACATCTTATTTATCACCAGTAGACCTTAGGGCAACACATCTTATATATCACCAGTAGACCTTAGGGGAACACATCTTATATATCACCAGTAGACCTTAAGACAACACATCTTATATATCACCAGTAGACCTTTGGGCAACACATCATATATATCACCAGTAGACCTTAGGGCAACACATCTTATATATCACCAGTAGACCTTAGGGCAACACATCTTATATATCACCAGTAGACCTTAAGACAACACATCTTATATATCACCAGTAGACCTTTGGGCAACACATCTTATATATCACCAGTAGACCTTAGGGCAACACATCTTATTTATCACCAGTAGACCTTAGGGCAACACATCTTATATATCACCAGTAGACCTTAGGGGAACACATCTTATATATCACCAGTAGACCTTAAGACAACACATCTTATGTATCACCAGTAGACCTTTGGGCAACGCATCTTATATATCACCAGTAGACCTTAGGGCAACACATCTTATATATCACCAGTAGACCTTAGGGCAACACATCTTATATATCACCAGTAGACCTTAGGGCAACACATCTTATATATCACCAGTAGACCTTAAGGCAACACATCTTATATATCACCAGTAGACCTTAGGGCAACACATCCTATATATCACCAGTAGACCTTAGGGCAACACATCATATATATCACCAGTAGACCTTAGGGCAACACATCATCTTATATATCACCAGTAGACCTTAGGGCAACACATCTTATATATCACCAGTAGACCTTAGGGCAACACATCATATATATTACCAGTAGACCTTAGGGCAACACATCTTATATATCACCAGTAGACCTAAGGGCAACACATCTTATATATATTACCAGTAGACCTTAGGGCAACACATCTTATATATCACCATTAGACCTTAGGCAACACATCTTATATATTACCAGTAGACCTTAGGGCAACACATCATATATATTACCAGTAGACCTTAGGGCAACACATCTTATATATTACCAGTAGACCTTAGGGCAACACATCTTATATATCACCAGTAGACCTTAGGGCAACACATCTTATATATCACCATTAGACCTTTGGGCAACACATCTTATGTATTACCAGTAGACCATAGGGCAACACATCATATATATTACCAGTAGACCTTAAGGGCAACACATCATATATATCACCAGTAGACCTTAGGGCAATACATCATATATATCACCAGTAGACCTTTGGGCAACATCATACAATATATCACCAGTAGACCTTTGGCCAACACATCTTATATATCACCAGTAGACCTTAAGACAACACATCTTATATATCACCAGTAGACCTTAGGGCAACGCATCTTATATATCACCAGTAGACCTTAGGGCAACACATCTTATATATCACCAGTAGACCTTAGGGCAACACATCTTATATATCACCAGTAGACCTTAGGGCAACACATCTTATATATCACCAGTAGACCTTAAGACAACACATCTTATGTATCACCAGTAGACCTTAGGGCAACACATCTTATATATCACCAGTAGACCTTAGGGCAACACATCTTATATATCACCAGTAGACCTTAGGGCAATGCATCTTATATATCACTCATAGACCTTATGAGGGCAACACATCATATATATATCACCAGTAGACCTTAGGCAACACATCTTATATATCACCAGTAGACCTTAGGGCAATGCATCTTATATATCACTCATAGACCTGAGGGCAACACATCATATATATTACCAGTAGACCTTAGGCAACACATGATATATATCACCAGTAGACCTTAGGGCAACGCATCTTATATATCACCAGTAGACCTTAGGGCAATACATCTTAAATATCACCCATAGACCTGAGGGCAACACATCATACATATTACCAGTAGACTGTAGGGCAAAACATCTTATATATCACCAGTAGACCTTAGGGCAATGCATCTTATATATCACCAGGAGACCTTAGGGCAACGCATCTTATATATCACCAGTAGGCCTTAGGGCAACACATCTTATGTATCACCAGTAGACCTGTAGGCAACACATCTTATATATCACCAGTAGACCTTAGGGCAACACATCCTATATATCACCAGGAGACCTTTGGGCAACACATCTTATATATTACCAGTAGACTTAAGGGCAACACATCATACAATCAGTAGACCTTAGGGCAACACATCTTATATATCACCAGTAGACCTTAGGGCAACGCATCTTATATATCACCAGGAGACCTTAGGGCAACGCATCTTATATATCACCTGTAGACCTTAGGGCAACACATCTTATATATCACCAGTAGACCTTAGGGCAACACATCGTATATGTCACCAGTAGACCTTAGGGCAACACATCTTATTTATCACCAGTAGACCTTAGGGCAACACATCTTATATATCACCAGGAGACCTTAGGGCAACTCATCATATATATCACCAGTAGACCTTAGGGCAACACATCATATATATCACCAGTAGACATTAGGGCATCACATCATACAATCATTATACCTGTGGTCAACACATCTTACATATCACCAGTCTTATACCTTAGGGACAACACATCTTATATATCACCCGTAGAACTTAGGGCAACACATTATACAGTCAGTAGACCTGTGGTCAACACATCTTATATATCGCCAGTAGACCTTAGGGCAACACATCTTATGTATCACCAGTAGACCTTAGGGCAACAGATCTTATGTATAACCAGTAGACCTTAGGGCAACGCATCTTATATATCACCAGTAGACCTTAGGGCAACACATCATATATATCACCAGTAGACATTAGGGCAACACATCATACAATCATTAGACCTGTGGTCAACACATCTTACATATCACCAGTAGACCTTAGGGCAACACATCTTATATATCACCAGTAGACCTTAGGACAACACATCTTATATATCACCCGTAGAACTTAGGGCAACACATTATACAGTCAGTAGACCTGTGGTCAACACATCTTATATATCGCCAGTAGACCTTAGGGCAACACATCTTATGTATCACCAGTAGACCTTAGGGCAACAGATCTTATGTATCACCAGTAGACCTTAGGGCAACGCATCTTATGTATCACCAGTAGACCTTAGGGCAATGCATCTTACATATCACCCATAGACCTGAGGGCAACACATCAGATATATTACCAGTAGACCTTAGGCAACACATGATATATATCACCAGTAGACCTTAGGGCAAGACATCATACAATCAGTAGACCTGTGGTCAACACATCTTATATGTCCCTAGTAGACCTAAGGGCAACGCATCTTATATATCACCAGTAGACCTTAGGGCAATGCATCTTGTATATCACCCATAGACCTGAGGGCAACACATCATACAATCAGTAGACCTGTGGGCAACACATCACTTGTATTATCAGTACACCATTGGGGTTACACATTAGGGGTGTCACGATACACCAATCTCACGATACGATACGTATCACGATTTTAAGGTCACGATACGATAGGTATCGCGATACATAATTTTCGCGCCTTTTCATAGCATTACCTTACCGGCAACGTACGCGCTCGCTGATTGGTCCATCAAAATAGTCTAGCCAATCACAAAAGCTGTTAGTTTCCAACCTATTTTTTAAGTAAAGCTAGCTACATCTATTTATCGGAGCGATCTCGTATAATTTTACTATCAAGACTTTGAAGGAGATGGATATAGCATAAAAATTTGAATCGATAAAGTTTTAAAATAGGAATCGATACACGCAAGCATGTATCGCGTATCGTATCGTCAGTAAAAATGTATCGATGCATCGATACATTCGCGTATCGCGACACCCCCTATTACACATCATATATAGTGTATATACCAAACTCTCTGTAGTTCACTTGACTACTGTAGAATGTAACGAAACTGTGTATCCCTAAAGAGGCTGTTTCACTAATCAGTTTGTAATCTAGTTATATCATATGGATAAGTTGGGTTTGGTTGTCAAACTGTGCACTCAGCTGTAGTACTGTGCACTGAGCTGTAGTATTAAATCATACATACTAAAGGGTTAAGATTTCTTCCTTGCAGTCTGTATTGACTGATGTCAGTTATGATTCAACACTTCAAATGATATG